ATTACTTTAAGAAAGAAAGAAGTGTACTTGGAGTGTGTGTAAATTTTGAGAACAAATGAATGGATTTTATAGGGATATTAGTGTAGGAGTTTGGTGAAATACCCGAACACCGTTTAAACACCTCACCCATTTGAAACATTAAAAAAAATTAAAAATATCGTAATACCCTAGTCGGATTCCCCAATTCCGACTAGGTGTTTCAAATTATTTAGGTATTAAACACCTCACCCATCCGAAACATTTAAAAAAAATTAATTTTTTTTACCCTAGTCGGATTCACCAATTCCGACTAGGTGTTTAACATTATTTAGACGTTAGACTTCTTACACCCATACGAAACATTTAAAAAAATTTAAAATGGAACAATACCCTAGTCGGATTCCCCAATTCCGACTAGGTGTTTCAAATTATTTATGGAACCCTAATCTCTAGTCGGAATAACGGATTCCGACTCCCGTGTTTTGGTAACCTAAATCACATTCCCGTGTTTTGGCATGTCAGACACCATACTCCCTTCTTTTGGTAATTTCTTCAATAGTCTTCACTGTAACATCAATTTAGCTAAATTATCTGTTTATTAAATGGACTCCTCTTCAATACATTGTTATACCAATTCGTAGGTTTCATGTGATTCTTGACAGCCTTTACATGGGGCAATACTTTTCCCGGTTTTAATTGGTCATTATTTTACATAGTTTGCTTACCTACAAATCAAAGGTTTTTACCAAATTAGGAGTAGGCCGTAGCCATTATGCCCATCAAGTTATGCCCCTGATCATCATAGACCTGTATACTGAAAAAATTACATAAATGCATGATGATAAGAAGTAATTAACTACACATCTAAATAGCTTTTTAGTTCTTTTTTTCCTTTCTTTTTCAGAATGCTATGTTACTCAGGGTATTGGCGCTTATGCTTCGCTGTTGTTATTTGGTTGGAAATTATCAATCATATTGTGATTAGTTGATAATATTAGTAGTCATGTTTCTTGGCAAATTTGATGATGTAAAATGACGATTAGCATTGCAGAAATATTAAACAGTCTCATAAAAATATTAAACTCAAATCAATATATTGGAGATTTTGGCGATGCATTACGTTGAAATATATGGTATCAAAATGATACTATCTGAAATATTGACTCTTTTAGTGGTACAATTGAAGTGTTTGTGATTGATGATAACTTATGTATGAATGGATATTGCTGTTTAATGTGCTATTCTGTTTGTGTTGCTTTCCGCTTTCATTAAGTCTGCGATTGCAATAAACACAAATTCACAGGTTGTAGATGAGGTAGAGAGGCAGTCCGCGCAATCCCCAGAACAACCCCACCCATACCATGATAACAAGGAACATTGATCAGATGATGCAAGTGAGTCCAACTGCTGAGGAAAGACCTGGAAGAGAGCATTGTGACTCAAAAGATTGTGATAAGAGTTAGTTGTCTCCAGCTTGGTTCCATAAGCATTGAGACTTCGATCAACGCAAGTAGATAAATCAAACTAAAGAAAAACGAGTCTCTTTCCCACGCACAGGATGTGGCATTAAACGTGACTATCATATAGTACTTGGGAGTTCGACAGTAGTTGATATTTCATCCTCTCAAATGTCAATGTTTACTTTTGTTAAGCCTTTAGTAAAAACAAATTATGTATTTTACAAAACTGGCCTCCATTAAGGGTCCACAGTTGATGGCTTTCAATATCATTGGTCATTCCATTACCTCAGTCAACAATTTCTTACAATCCCAGTGTTTCACTGTCAATAAGTTTTTTTAATATATTATATCCGATGAAAAGATTCAATTACACAATGCCGCGAGGGGGAGAGTATTGCAATAGTGAACTAGTCCTAACAACTTGTCAAGGGATATCCGAGCCAAATGTGCAGTGAGAATCAGTTGGATTCATTTGAAAAATCTCTATGGTCAATATCAAAAGCCTGAACAGCAATTTAAAAACAAGCTTCACGAACAACTGACCTTCAACAGTCAAGCATAACCACAAACATTCTTGGATGGAAAGGAAATCATATGCCTTTTTATATTATGTTAGAAGGTGCCACTTTTGTGTATATGGGCATAGGATTCAGAAGAATAAAGTGACTACTCAATGCCTTAGCTTCTTAAAGAAAGTACTTCCTTGTGCATAGTGTGCCTTGTTTACTTTTCAAAAAGGGAAAAAAATATTTGATATTAATCAAGTCATGATCATGATCACCAAGAATACAATCAGGAGGGGCTAAAAACCAATAAGAGTATAAGACTGTTCTCGCAAAGATTCGGTCCCGACTCCCATTTGCTTTTGATCAAAGCATTCAAGGAACCTCCGTCCCTAATATCAGAAATTCCTTGAAGAGAATCAGATTCCATATCAATGGGATCCCAACCCGTCCCTAATATCAGAAATTCCTTGAAGAGAATCAGATTCCATATCAATGGGATCCCAACCGTAACTCAAAGCCCACCTTAATGCTTCCCGAATCCCCAAAATCTCAGCTTCTCAGACCGTGCATTCCCCTAGTAGCTTGGTTGATCCTCCAGCTATGAAACTAGTAGCTGAATCACGAAGAACGCAGCCCAACCCCAAGCACTCTTCTTTATCTGCATTCTGCAACATCAATATTGAGTTTGAAACGACTTGCTATAGGAGCTGTCCACCTAGACCCAACCTGCTGCATATTTCCCCAATGATCCCCAATTTTTTAGACTGCTGCCATGCCAACCAGTAGCCTTTAACTCCCCCAAGATACTTACATATTATTAGTGATCATTCTTTTCATACAAACTAACATATATAGTGCCAAGAGGACCAAAGAATCTTAGAAAAGTATATCATAGATTTGGGAAAAGCTTACCTAACATAAAATTCAAACATAAGTACTAGACTGATTGCATTTCACTGGAGTGAGTTTAATCTGGTGAAACAGGTTGAATCTAAAATGTTAAGATTTTACAAGCATCTGATCTTATTTGTGAACTCAAGTTGGATTGCATATCTACGAAAAAACTAATACTAATATGATCATTATTGAAACAGGAGAATGTCTCTTATTGTATAAACTCAAATTAGGTGCTCCCTACGGCGATTCATCCTACAAAAGCAGCTTCCATTGCAACTGGAATACGAATATAAAAACATATCAATAAAGAAAAAGGGATTTCGAGTATTTTTCTAGCAACATTGCTTTCTCGCTGGAGTGTAATTTTTTTTTTTGTGCGGAAGGTTATTCTTTTAGTGTGGCAGGTTTGTCCTTGGGTGCCGCAGGGTGAGGATAGTTATCTTCCTTTTTCCTCTCTCTGCGGTTTTTGCGGCAAGCCGGCAACCGTTTGGTCTACGGACTTTGCAAGTGCAGATTGAGGGATAGTTTTGCAAATAATGAAACTACATTACTGCTTTGACGTGGAATTACTTAAATTAGGATGATGATCTGGAGGTATCTGATTGGTTTAGAATTGAAGATACCAAAACACTCTTTTTTTTTTGTACGGTAGAAGCACCCTACGGGAAAATTGGTCAAACTAAATGCTGTTTTCCTTGAACACGTAATTCGGAAGCACCCATATTTTATAAAAAAAGAATCGGAAAGGCAAGCCAATTGTAAAATCCCACTTGTTTAAAACATTATGTAATTTTTTATTGTACTCATAATTTTTTAGTGTACCCACAATTTATTTTTTGAAATCTCAATTGTTGAAAGTTTTCAGACCCAAAATTTCTGTTAAATCAATTTAAGTGCTAAAATTAAAATCTCATTATTCAAATATTTTTTTCATGTTTTAATTATTTTAATTATGAGATCTTAATTTTAGCACTTCAATCTATTTAAGAAAATTTTTTAATCTAAAAACCTCCTACTATTGATGCTTCAATTTTTTAAAAATTTTATAAATGCAATATTGATTTCATATGAAAGATCATAAAAGTAATGAATTTTGATATAATTTTGTAAAAATTGGAGTACAAATAATAACTTACAACACTTCAAAAAAACCAAATTGTATATTTTGCCCTAGCCCCACCTAATTCCCCCTTACACGGAGGTAAGCCACCTTGCTTTGCTCGGAAAAAGGGTTTCCGAACGCTTATTTTTCAAAACATATATATTTTCCATTTGGAATATAGCTTTCCGAATCCCGTGTAATAAGGATGTTTTCATTTAGACTGAAATTTGTTGGTCTGGTATGATCTGGGATTGAAAACAGTCCAAAAGAAAACATCCTAAGAACTTGAATGAGAGTCTCAAAAGGCTCGTGTTTTAAGAATTTCTTCCAAAATAAGACTAGAATACATTAATCTTATTCCATTACAAAAAAACAGGGAGTCTTTCACAGACCGAAGTTTAAAAAATTTGCAACAAATTTTTTTTTCACGGAATTGGCGTGACAATGTTTTGTCATGAAAATGGATCCGTGACAAAGCTTTGTCATGGATTTGTCACGTCCGGCATCTGTGACAATATGGTCACCAGAGACGTAGGCACAACTTCCGGTATTTTTCTTTTAATTTTTAGACACTTTTGAAAATCGGAGTTACTATTAACTGTCTTTCTCAGATGTTTTTAACTGTGTGTCCCTCTTGTGATAGCGAAATTCAAACACGTGAATCACTATGATAAAAAAAATGAAACACATGACCCTATCTAAAAACGAACCCAACCACAAATATGTTTTCCATACTTTACCCAATAATATATAATAATCATGATGATGGTGATGATAAGAACAATAATAATGATAATAATAATAATAAAAGAAAGTTACTTCATATTTCAAATAGGATTAAAACATAGACAAAATGCACAAATATAGAGTTAATTATATTTTATTTTCAAAATAAAACCAACTTATTTCGGACATGCATATTAAAAGCATATAACTTCCCCAATTAGGCAATTACTAATGAAGTAGTTCTAACTATTTTAGGATGAAACCAATAATGTTCTCCATTTTATCAATGTTTTAATCTTATTTGGAGAATTTTCTAATACGGAGTTGTAATCATCATCATCGCAATAATAATAAGAATACACATTGGACTAACATTATGTATATTGGACCATTGAAACGGTTGGCTAAAAGCCTCTAGTTGTTTTCTCATACGGAGTATGATATATTCAAAGTGAAAAAATAGTTAGTTTTATTAAAAAAAATAACCAGAATAGCTTCATCCCACCACTTGAGGATTATTTATTGCACCTAGAAATAATATGGTGTCAGACACATCTTCTTTGATGACACACATGAACGGATGGTCAGCTATAAAGTTGATCGGCGGCGGTGGCGGTGAAGCGTCTAAGCAAAAGCCAAGAGCCTCCTCATCATAGGTAACACTCAACACTTCCGTACCTGCCTCATTGCATTCCATTCGGCTATGTTGTGTGATTTTTGAGACAAACAATGGCATTTCCTCTACCATACCAGTAAGGTCATCCTCAGAATCCATGAAAGGCAACGTTAGCCCTAACTCTTTCATTATCTCCGATGGAAGAAAACAGTAAGCGAGAGTAAACTTCGGAACCTGCAAGATAGAAATCATCTCATACTCCATATTCAGCATGTGTTTGCGAGATAAGAGATGAGGGTTTTGTCTCATTTTGTCGGCTAGTTTTGGCAACCCTCCCTTTTCCTTCGGGAGGATGATGGTCATGGAGAAACGCCTTCCTGCTTTCCTATCTCCATTCCCTGATTTATAGGGCATCGTAAGAACATTGTAGTCGTCAAAGGAAGCGTGCGCATAAGTGCTTTCATATTTCATCATGAATGGTACTTCGACGACAGGTGACTCATCCACTTTTTCCCCAAGAAGGTGGAATTTGTCAGTTCGTGTATTTGATGGCTCAAACTCATTTTCCCAGCTTGCTTTGAAATAAAGCCCGTTCGCATGGATAAGGGTTAAATATTGCTTGTTAAAGGCACTCCTAAGAAGAAGCGGTTTTATAAGTCCTTTTGTGTCATCATTGACCCATTCATTCACCTCATCTACACCTACCTCCTGAAAAAGAAAGAGAAGTTGCAAATTAAGTACAACCCGCACGTAATAAAAACATGTTCCCAACAATCCGATTATCCAACTTTGTTCATTCTAATCTAAGGAAATGATAATACGTTTCAGATAAAGAAACATAAGTAGTATAGTGAAAAAGTGAAAAACTTAGGTCCAGCTATAAAACGTGAGAACAGTACTAAAAAAAATATAAATATAGCTATAGTAAATGAAAAAGTACCCTTTATATATTCTTGCTTACAATATCAATATACTGATTAACGTGACAATGCAAAACAAGCTAAGAAGATACTGAGTGCTTGCAATTATTTATTGTTAGTACTTTTGACCATGACGAAAAAAATTGGAAGATAGGAATTTTAGCTCAAAAAAGTAACACATCATTAGACCTGCATGAGTAAAATTATAATGTTAATTTTATTACTCCCTCCGTCCCGCAAAGATGTTCCCGGTTTGACCTACACACATATTTAGGAAATGAATTTGACTTTACTGTTTAGACACTGTTTGGCACTGTTTAGACACTGTTTGGCACTGTTTAGACACTGTTGACACTGTTTTGCACTGTTTGACACTGTTTTAATGTAGGATAACTTTCCATTTAGGGAAAGGGAACTTCTTTTTGGGACATCCAAAAGAGGAAAGCGGGAACATCTTTGCGGGACGGAGGGAGTATATATCACTACAAAAAACACGATATTGACAGAGATTTTTTACAAGGATTTTTCAAAATTTGCCGTGATTTTTGCAAGGATATGCCAAATCTGTGCCAAAAAAAGTTTGGCACGAGCTATTTGGCACGAATTCATCGATAAATCCGTGCCAAATTCATGTCAATACCTTAACTTTTTTGTAGTGTACGTAGTAAAATATAATAGATCGATGTAACTATTTTGCTGATAAGAACATAGAAAAAGAAAATCTATTCTTAGTGGTTTAAATGGGAAACCAATTAAGAATATTAGAGAACTCAATGGAGGTGTTTGGCAATTGTCTATTATTGGCAGTTGGTTGTTGGCTGATTATGTTAGCTGATTGATGATTCTGTTGGCTGTTTTGATTAGCCGATAATATTAGTGGTTTATAGCTGTTTATAATTAGTTGATAACTTGTTAAAAGACTTTTAAGGACATTAATTAATTATTATTTTTTGTTTACTACCTAATTGTATGACGTATAACGTATGATACAATTTTTGAATTAATGTTAGCACACAACTAGATAAACGATTTTTATTAATTAAAAAACTGCAAGTAATAATGCTTTACAACAATTTATAATCATAGATTCATAGTGACTACAACCATTGCACAAAATCATTCACTACGGAGGATCGGAAAATAAAGTTGAAGTTTATTCATTTAAAGTCCAATTTCAAAGTCATGGAGTCCTCCATCCTTAAAATCTAAAATGGAAGAAATAATATATTTTTTTGAAAAATTACACCAAATAGACATCCTTTTCAATTATATTGCTGTTTCAATTGCATATAACCATAACCAAGTCTAATACAAAAAAAACCATTAGGTTCGACAAAAAAAAACTAAAAGAAAAATATTAGTATATAGATGCAGCATCACTAAAGAAGGATAAAAAAAATCGTAGGATATTTATGTGAAATAGCTGTTCTGAACTTCCGATTGAATTTATAAGGCCGAGCACTAATACTATTGAAAAATTCGGTGCTAAGAGCACGGTAGTCGGTAGTTATTAAACTGATCATGAAAAAAATGGCCAACAGAGTTAGCTAAGGAGAAGATTCACGTGGGCAGATCCTAAACGCTAATGTTTTGAGCATTTTGCACTTTGGTTGTTTGAGACAAAAAGTCAAATGAAAAAGTTATTTTACCAAACACCTCTATTAGCTGATTGGTCTGGTCTAAAGGCTAATAAGAGTCAAATCAGCCAAAATGTGGCTGATAGGCTCTTACCGATTTAGATGCTAAAATGATAATAGTGAGGCTTTACCGATTTAGATTTAGAGATGGTGTTGAAAAAATGGTTTACAAATTAGTATTTCAATATATTATTTGTAGAAAATAATTTTGAAATGAATGAGAAATTGTCCCCGGACACGGTGAGCGTGAAATTGCACTTCACCCGCCGCCGCTGGCCTGTCGGGTTTCGGGTACGACTGGGTACAATTAATTAATTAATTTTGGATAAGGCAACACTTAGAAGAAAGCTTGTCATCTTTTTTTAAATAGGTGCCTTTTGGGATTAGTCTCCTGGCCAGAGTACTAATATCTTCAATTCCGTACGCTTCTCGTTTATCATAATTATTTATTTAACTACATTATTTCTTGTGCAGATTTTCGACATATGCTAACAATAGATAGTTCAATAAAAACTCTAGTCACCTAGAGAAGTAGCCGCCTAGTTACGGAGTTACTTGAACTTAGAGATATAAAAAAACTGACCAGCAATGACTCACCCTGGCCCGAGACATTTGGGACGGGTTCGGCCCGCCCCATCTTGCAAATGGGGCGGGTCCGCCCCGCCCCGCCTATACAATGGGGCGGGTCCAGGTATTACTATTGACCTGTGTCGCCCCGACCCGTCCTGATCCGCTCAATATATAAGTATACACACTTTTTCTTAAATTATACTACAAATATACTTCAACATACATATGTGTGTCTACAATAAATCATAATTTTTTTGATCTTATAATATATTTATGTATATATTAGAATGAGATGAACGACGGATTATCAATTTCTTTTTTATATATAGCATTTTAATACATATATTCAATTAGTAATATAATTAACTAGAATAACTATTCAAGTCTGATTAAACTTTCCTTAATTTTTAGAGTATCATGCATTTGATTTAATATATTAGTTTTTAATTAGTACTTAGAGATAAACTTTATGTAGATTCAATGGGTAACAACTTCCCACAAATAAAAATACATACTAGCAAATTAGGTTACGATGGGGAGGGGCGGGGTGGACCCGCCGTATTTGGCGGGGCGGGTCCGCCCCGCCCCATGCGGGGCGGGTCATGGGTCAACAAGTTTGGACCCGTTCAGGTCACGAGGCGGGGCAGACCCGCCCCGCCAAGTCACAAGGCAGGTCCGGGTCAATACCCGCCCCGCCCCGACCCATTGTCATGCCTACCTGAACTTGTACTCTTTGTTTAGGTGAAGGAAGAAGTAGCTAATTAGGTCTACATAGGAAATCCTAATTATATTTTAGATACATTTAGGATGGGCTAAAGGGTCAAATAGACCATTGAACTAACTTAAATTGTTCAATTAGCCCCTCAAATGCGAGGTTCAGCCCGGCCATCGCCAATTGGGGAGGTTCCCGGTGGAATTTTTTGATGAAATTTTGTGAGCATCTTCTTCATTAAATGTAGTTTACCCATGTCAAAGTTCAACTAAAAATTAAATCGGGAAGACAGTCAAATGATTTTCCGAAATGTATTGCGTTGTTTAACTGCGCAGCTATCTTCAAAAAATCATTTGACTGCCTTCCCGATTGAACTTTTAGCTGAAATTTGATATGAGTAAACTAGACTTAATGAAGAAGATGCTCACAAAATTTCATCAAAAAATTCCACCAGGAACCGCCCCAATTGGCGACAGCCGGGCAGAACCTCTTATATAAGGGGCTAATTGAACACTTTAAGTTAGTTCAAGGGTCTATTTGACCCTTTAGCCTTTAGGATTTTAAAATTATTGCAGTATTGGACCAAAAAGTACGGTCAAAACAGGAAAAGAAAAGAAACCGAAAAACATTCTACCTATTAAACAGGCCCGTTTGGAATTCTTATATCTTGAATTAGTATTTATTAAAAACTAAAAATAGAAAGAGTTCGAAAAAAATTAAAGTGTAGCAGTGGTAGCACAGATTAGTTTCTAACCTATGACTTGTAGCACATATAAATTTTGTTATGATATTATTACCACTAAAGCTAGGGACATGTTTTGAGTTGAAGCATGCACTTATCCTAGCTAATTAGTACTACCATTGTTCCTCAAGAGTTGTAACATTAATGAATTTTGAACTATTTACATACTTTATTCTGACTTCATTTTATTTATTAATGTATTATAAATTAAAACTTTGAAAGATATTGTTAAATTCCTCTCATTTTAAATCTTACAATTATGATTTTCTACTAATAAAAACTGAAAGATCTCAATCGTCAAGTTTATGCCTTGAAAAAATGTGAAAAGTAGAGTGTTGTAGGCATATAAAATGGAGTATGTAATTAAGTCAGCCACAAGTATGTAATTAAGTTAGCCACGGCCCACGGGAGGGGCCAGGGAGCAATTGCCTCACTTCCAACCTTTAATTTAGTAAGAGTGCTTATGAGTGACTATAAGACTAGTACACTTATCCGACAAGAAAATTAAATATAATTAAGGAATATTCAGAGCCTATTTAGTAACAGTGTAACACTGTTACTCGGCTTATTAGGCTTATCATCCAACTTTTTTTATCAAACACGTAAATTTTGATTTTCCGCTCTAAAGTGTGTAATAATAAGGAAAAGTAAGGTCGGAGTTACTTTTCTGTCTGTTTCGGCTGAAGTTACTGTAGAGAACCATTTTAGCTATTTTACATAGAGGGGGTGTTTGGTAAATGACTGTTGGCTGATGGTTGTTGGCTGATTGTGTGGGCCGATTGATAACAACGGATTCTGTTGGCTGTTTTGGTCATTTGATAGTATTAGCAGTTTGTAAAGTAGTGTTTGGTTAAATGGTCGTTAACAATTAGCTGATAACTTTTTAAATGACTATTAAGGACATGAATTATTATTTTTTACTAACTACTCTTACATACGTATTATAATTTTTGTTAATGTTATTTGCATAAAAAAAATAAATTTCTCTCTTTCAAAAAAAATGTTATTTGCATGATTAGCTTATAACCGTTTTTATGATTTACAAAAATTATAAAAATATTGTCAGAAGCAATAATTCTTTTACATACTCCGTATTATTTTTAATGTATTAGAAAAACTGTTTTTTT